AATTGCTTATCTGCTCTATGCGCTACTTCAGAAATTTCTATTTTTATTAACATTTACATATATACAAATGAAATTATACACGCATACATACAGCATATAATTACACGTATTTATATATGTAACACTATATATATCACACACTATATATATACTATGTGTATACTATGTACATATATAAAACTGTAAGATTATACAAAATACAATTATTAGCATATATTTACTATATATAACTATACAAACATATGTAATTATGAATACAATTATAATTAATTATGCATGTCAGTTCTCAATCTATCCTCCAATCTTTCATCCTTTCAGTCATCATTTTAACGTCTTTAGTATTTTACATTAGGTTCTGGGAAAATATCTACAGCATCTATTTAAATTATTAGTTTATCAATTGTACACTGCTTCCACTGCAGTAATAGACTCAGAGATCCTCTTAATCTTTTAGTAATCTTTTTCCATGTTATAGTGTTCCTTTTCCTAACTACCTATTTTCAGATATATTATGTATCAGTTAGGAAACGTTAGGTTATACTGTGCTAATAAACACATTCTTAAATCTCACTGAATTAAGGTTACAAAATCTCCTTCTCACTCATCCAACCTATCCAATGTGAGTGAGAAAGGACGTTTGTATCCATTTGGTGTTTTTATGGTCTATGTTTCCACAATCTCCAAGTAAGAAAAAGGGAAAAGAACTCACTCTTACAGCTTTGGCTCAAAAGTAACATTTACATCATGTTCACACACATTCAGTGACCCAAATAAGACCCACACAGGCCTTCAACTTTGAGGAAGGCAGGAAAGCACAATCCTAGCGTGCTTCTCAAAGGTGGGAGTCCAGACGTACCTTAACACTACCTCCACACGACACAATGTTCTTGTAAATCACCTTCATAACAGGAATTACAGACCCTCTAAGTGGTACCTATGTGCTTCACTGAGGACCATTTATTTGGATACTTCTGGTATCGGTCATTCTTATCTGAACAGCCAAATTGAAATCGTATATTTCAAAACCTTTATATTAGTTTACAGAAGGAAATCTTTATAAATTACTGAGAGTTGACATGGGCCCATTAGAAATTTCTCAAATTTTAATTCTCTTGAGGATATTAATAAAATGAATATTTGCCCCTTGATGGCTGGCCACAGACCGTCATTTCTTCCAATCTAGTTTCATCCAGATGAAATGCCTGTTTTTCCTTTGTTATATTTGGAATGAGCAGTTTTTTCCTCATTCATAGATTCTGTAAGTTATTTCACTGGGAATTTACCAAAGAAAGGGAAGGTAAATCAGTATGCTTGAAACATATCTTGAAGTATAACTTTTTCCTAAATTGCTGACTTTGGATATTAGGTAAACCATTAATCCAGCTAACCAAGTAAGAACCAGAGAGTCATCCACTCTTGCCTTCACACCCAGTTGGTCACTAAACCATCCAAATTTTGTCTCCTAACTATTTCTCAAAAGAACAGAGATCTTGAGGAAAGAATATCAAAGTCAATTTAGAATTATTTAGCATACCCAGCGGAAACTTTGTATGTGACATTAAATAAGCAAAATCTTGATAGCTAACCATTTTGATAAATCTGCATTCGAGGGGAAACCAATAACCTTTCTTACTCCTTTTGGCAAACAAAGCCCTGAATGTTCTTGACTAATATGGAAAGAGATCGGTGTTTAGCTTGCACAATATGCACTCCACAAATACTTGAATTTGACAGAGCTGAAAAACAGAAAAGTTAAGTAAAAACATTCGTGGCGACGGCCACAAAGTTGAGTAAGATATAGTCATGCTGCTGTGGTCATACCAGCGGTCGATATAGGAGGGTGCTGACTGACTGCAACTTAATGAGGAAAGCAGACTACAGAAAGCAAGAGAAAGGTTCTGAAAAATAAATCCAAAAGAGTTCCACATCACCAGTGTATAACAAAAACTTTCTACTGGTTTCTAGCAGTATGATAACTAAAAAAAAGTCACAAGCAATATATTTATCACGGACATATTCTGTAATGTTCTTATACTGTGTTTCTACCAGTAGACCTTGAATTCCAGATACTTATTTAATAGGTAGCAAAATGCATTGTTGATGAAACTATTTATTATGATTAAGATGAATTAGCCTGTGGAAACGTGTGCTTTTTCATCCTTGCAAATGGTTTATTGTGACTAAAAGCAGTGTTTTCTTCATGAAGAACAAAAAGTCCTCTTCCCTGTAACAGCACCTGACCTTGTCATGCACATTAAGCTATCCTTTAAAGATTATCCTTGCATTTATTGACATTCTTGCAGATTGGCTACAGTTTATTTTACGAATATACCAATAGTTAATTGAATCTTGATTTCTCTTTAGGTGTCAGCTTTCATGGGACCATCAGAAAACAAGTGCTTTAGGAATGCTAAACATTAATGTGAAGTGAGAGCATTTAATTAAATTTTCCTCTCAGGCAGGATTTAGATTTCTCATTTAAAACATAAAAAGACAAGTAGGAGGCCACTGCTAGAATACAGTTCTAATAATCTCAAATGATAAACCTAATCTATGAAATGTGCTTTAAATATTGATTCCTATGTGACAGGGGTAGGTGGGTGTATGTGGACAGCATGAGTGATGCTTGTGATGATGGAACTATACTGTGTTTCAATTATGGTGATGGATACACAAACCAATGCATGGGAAAAAATCACATAAAATATAAACACATACTCAGAGGAATACAAGTGAAACTGGAGAAACCTAATAAGACCACTAGATATCAATGTCAATATTCTGATGTGATGCTGTACTGTGGTTTTGTAAGATATTACCATTGGAGAAATTGAAGATCTCTTTGCATTATTTTTTACAACTGCATGTGAATCTACAATGATCTCAAAATAAAAGATTTAAAAAATTAGTTCCTCTACTTTTCTCAAAACTTGTTCTAAACCCATCCAAATGTGAAACATTCTTCTTTATTTTTCTCCCCTTGTAAGAGTTATCTACATAATTAAAATCTATACCTAGAATCCAAGCACAGAGACCACATTATTGATGTTGCTTAACGAAGCATGTAGGTGGGGCTTTAATGAAGTAAAATTCAAGGTAAGAATATGGGAGAAGGTGTATACATAATGCTAACAGAACAAATAATGCTTTTTTTAAACAAGCATATAAATATTTGTTTCTTAAAAACATCCTCCTTTAACCCAAAGCACCACTTACAGATGCAATGACTCTCTTTTAATATTCACAACAAAAAATGTTGATCTGCCTTAATTTTTTTTTTTTTTTGCTACTGTTGTAATTAGTTTTTGTAATAACTCTTCTGAAAATAGAAGCACTAACTACTAAGGGGAAACACTTCAGGAACCAGGTCTAGGCACAGACTTTATGAACAAGAGCCCAGAAGCACAGGCAACAAAAGAAAAAATAAACCGATGGGACTATATCAAACTAAAAAGCTTCTGCCCAGCAAAGGAAACAATCAACAGAGTGAAATGACAACCTACAGAGTGGGAGAAAATATCTGCAAACTATACATCTGACATGGGATTAATATCCTGAATATATGAGGAACTCAAGCCATTACACTGTAAGCAAACAAATAACCCAATTAAAAAATGGGCTAGTTGCCCAAGTAAGACATACAAATGGCCAACAGATACATGAAAAAAATGCTCAACATCACTAATTATCAGGGAAATGCAAATTAAAACCACACTGAGATATCACCTCACCCCAGTTAGACTGGCTATAATAAAAAAGACAGAAAATAACAAATGCTGGCAAGAATGTAGGGAAGGGAACACTCTCAGGCTGTTGGTGGGACTGTAAATTAGTACAACCACTATGGAAAACAGTACGGAGGTTTTGCAAACAACTCCAAATAGATCTACCATATGATCCAGCAATCCCACTTCTGGGTACATACCCAAAGGAATGGAAATCATCATGTTGAAGGGATACCTGCACTCCCATGTTCATTATAGCTCTGTTTACAATAGACAAGACATGGAACCAACCTAAATGTTCATTGATGGATGACTGGATAAGGAAACTGTGGTATATATACACCATGGAATACTACTCTGCCATAAAAAAGAATGAAATTCTACCATTTGCAACAATGTGGAAGAGCCTGGAGAAACTTATGTTGAGTGAAATATGCCAACTACAGAGGGAAATATACCACACATCTTCACTCATAAGTGGGAACTAAGAGAGAAAGAAGGACAGAAAGAAAGACTACAGTGGTGTGTTAGACTTGCAGAGAGAGAGAGCATACCTATGGCTGCAGAGTGGGGTGGGGGAATGAGGAAGGGGGGAAGGTTGGGGATTGAGTGTGGGACATGGGGGAATAATCACAATTTGTGGTAATGGGCATGCTGGTAGTATTTATCTGGCCATCACATCTTGGACACAAGAGGTGACAGTCAGCTTTGTATTCCTTAAATATTCATAACCAACAAAAATTTAAAAAAATAAAAACAAATATCTAAAAAACATTGTTTCAAGACAGAACAACACAGTGCTGATTATAGGGCTGTTGTCAGAATCTCATAGGCCTCAAGTATACTTGTATTTGATAATCTTCTTCAATATCCAATATATTAAAAGTATCCACGAGCCACGTTCTATATAATATAAGAACACAAATATGGAGATGAAGTTGACTGACATAATGTTTTGTTTTGGAGACACTTAATTAGACAGTTATTAAATTCAACTTTGCAGTTTTCTTTTTGTGTTTTATGACCATTGATTTCTGGATGGAAGGGAAAGGGCATCTCAATAACTTTCGGAGAGTCCTGAAAGCTCATATGCCCTACATAGTGTGCACACAGACTATAATAAATAAAATCGTTCTGACTAACTTTCACATGGGTAAGCAGGATGATTCACAGTAATAATGTGGAATAAGGTGATATGATAGTGAAATTAGTATAATTAATTGATTTCTCAAAGCCAGGGTTTTGGTCTTATAAGGTTCAATAGCAAAAACTAACCTGAGCATGTGGGCAGCATTGAAGACAACATCGAACTCTGTGCTGTCTAGTTCAGCTGCTTTTTTTGCCATCTCAGCTGCTTCTATGAGGCGAGCATCTTCCAGAAGAAACTGACCTGCAAAGTATGAAAGCAAGTGAGCTTCAACTAGGAAAATAATAATTGTATGAAACAATAAAGTTGCTATTAGAGAAAAATAAGTATAGTGGTAAAGGTGATTTGAAGCTAAGATTTAATAGCATGCTCACTAGTCACTTTCATATGACTTTTGCTTAATTGTAGAACATTGCAAGGCTTCTATCTGGTCCATTAAAAATTTTTTTCTTAGGAAAAAGCAAGAAATTAACAAATTTAAAGATATATTACAAATATGAGTTGAGTTGATTTTAATTGCTAGGGCTTTAATATAGCTTTGTCTCCAATACATACACACAAATGAGTGCATCCATATTAAGATATATTCATTTCTTATGTTTAAGTTATGCTAAATTATTGAAAGAACATAGGAAGGTAAGTTAAGCATTAACTCACTCTTAATCACATTTAGTAATAAAAGTGAAATAAATATTAGCAAGTTCAGATTTTTGAGATTACTTTCAGGTCAGCTTTGTAAGTTAGAGTAAATTGCAAATAGACACACACAACTCTTTTAAATGGCACCTCAAAAATTGTTATAAAATGCTATCCTAGAAATATACAGTAAAGGGCAAGAAAACAACAAAAGTTGGGCCCAATTTTAAGGGCATAAATATTCAAACAGAAAATAGGTTGCTTTTTTATAGCAAGGAAATTACTAACAGCAAAGGTAATGATGTTAAGCTTTATCTGATATGGATATTCAAATAAAAACCAAATCAAAAAATGACAGATATGTTGAAGCCATCCATGTAACTGCCAGGCTTGTTAGGTTGTGGTCTAATTATCATCTACTCTAATTTGGGGTTTCCAGTTTGCTAAAAGTTCAAGAATTTAACAATAATAAAAACAGTTATAAAATTGATTTGCAAGTTCTGAGTTGCACAAAGAAACAGAAAAACTTTAAAAACGGTAAATACTCCCTGGTGGATATTGGAAGAGTCCATTATTTACTCTCTTTATCCAGTAAATATAACAAATTAACTTCTAACCAAAAAACAAACAAAAAAACAGTTCCTAAAAGGGGGAAAGTATCTGTTTCTAGGATTTATAATAAACCATAGCCACTGCTAGCCTTTAAGAATTTCCAAGCTTTGATTAGTAAAAAATAGTGAGTAAAGATAAGGCTACGATCATAAAGCCTACTTTTTTAAACTAAATGACAAAGTTTTAAGACCAGGATTTGGACAGCCCTTAGCTACTTCTATAAAAAGTTTCACATCACTTTCTTAGTTTGTCACCTAACATCTGTTCCTTTCTCATCTCTCAAAACAAAGACATTCTTGGGTCAGAAAATTATTAAGAAAATAGTTGTAAATAAGTTGCATTTACAAATAGAAAACACATTACTTATGAAATTCCTGTATATGCTAACTCTACAGATACGCAGCTACAAGAATAAATTTCAAGTAAGTTTTTTAATTAAAAAAAAAAGAATTAGATAATATCTGGCCTAGTAACAAATTAATTATCACCTCAAATACACATGTACCTTAACAAAGGATACCAGGCTAACCCCATCTTCCAGTTAGTTATGCTTATTATTGATTATTTTCTAAATTAAAACATAATAGTAACTGCTACCTGTCTTCTAAACATAATATTTAACTAAGTAAATGTATTAATACATTATTTATATGATATTTAAACAAAGGATAATATAGGAAATTACGAACTGTTCCTTTCCTTTCCAGGCAGCTATTAACTCTGAAATGTAGACTATACTGTTAGGACAATGCAACAGTTAATAGAATAATGAAGATAATTTTCTTAAAATTCATTACTCTAGACTGTAGAGGAAAAAGGATATTTATTAGGTATGGTTAAAAAAAAAAAGGACACAATATCTATTTTTTCCACATGGAAACAGAAAGGGATACTGACAAGAAGTCTATGTGATGAAGATAATGATACTCAATAATACAACAGGTCAGTTTATAAGCAATGTTCAGGACAGAGCCTTTCAAGCTTTGTCAATGCCAAATATATCTGTAATATTAAACAACAGAAAGGGAAATGACATTAACTAATTGCATAAAATCAAATATTCAATTTGTCATAATTTATAACATGTATTTTTAAATTTAGTTTTGTCATGCAACAAGCACTTTGTAAAATGCTTGCAAAGTTCAAAACTACCCAAAACACATAATTTTTAGTATTATAAATTGTGACAAAAATTCCCACTTGATCACTTTATAACAGCAAAATTCATTCATCATATTAACATTCAGAAAAACAATATCACAATGTATTAGTTAGGTATTTGCATAATTTCCTACATTCTGATCTTGACAGGCCATATATCTCAATATTACAGCATTAGTGTTTTGCTATGATAAAGGCATAAAATATTATGGAGTGTGAATCATTTGGCTGGATTTTTTAGCTAAATTTGAATATCTGAACCAAAATTGAAAGTAAATTATTATTCTGCTATGTTATACAATGGCCCTTTGAAATACAGCCCAGAATTGATGGAAAATAGAGTAATGAACATTTCAAATACACAGACCAAAACAAATAGGGAAACAAAGAAACCTAGTACATATCTTCTAAATAACTACCCAAAGAACCTAAATTGACACGTTATTGTGGAACAGTAGACAAAATATGCCCTTACCCCTTCTGGAAGATTTTACCTCAAGTCACTCATCAGCCACCAAAACTTTATTGCTGCCATCCAACTGCTCCTTATCCCTATCTGTCCAGAATTTTCAGTCCCTCATGTTGTCCCATCCCTATCTCCAGTTCTGCCTTGCCAAACTATTATGCATCTTTCATTTTTATGCCCTAAAATATTTCCTTCTTAGTGAAGCATTATTAGCCCAGTTTCCAATAGTGTTAGAATTGCTTATGATGTATGTTCACTATAATATAATTTACCGTTTAAACCAGAGCACTTAAAAGAGTACAAGAGAATTATTATTAACTATGCTGGAGCAAGGGTATAAACCAGAATTGTCCCAATGTGGTTATTAGCACATGTGGCAGGATGTGGACCTCAGTCCTCACATCTTCATCACTATAGGGGAGTAAACTGTTCACACTGCTAGCAGAGAGATCATATTAGCAAGAGAGAGACAGGTGCTCTTCACTGAAGAACTGCAGTTGAGCCCACCAAGACTGAGACAGATCCCAAGGTTTGGTGAGTAGGTGCAGGGGAGTGGGCGGCTCAGACAGTATGGATAAACTACATGATGAAACCAGGACTCTCAGGAAGAGAGAGAAAACTTGAGGGAGGCAAGTACTTTGGGAAGTCCATCCACAGTAGTGGATTCTGCAGGTCCTGAAAGGTCATTTTCTCTTTCACTGATCTCTAGTTTTAGTTCTCTTTTGTGCACATAAGAAGACTTGCTAGAACAGACAGCAAGGCCTCATCCTTAATGTTTCAGATTCAGTGAGTCTGGGATAGAGCTTGAGATTTGCATTTTCAATATGTTCCCAGGTGCTGCTGGTGCTGCTAGTCCAATGCCCACACTGAGAATCAGCGTCTCTTAGTAGAAACAAAATAAGTATTTTTCACTCCGGACTCTGATTATAGCTGGGCTTAGCTATCAGTTAGACTGAGCTCTTGTGGTAATCAACTGCATCTGGCACAGTCTTTCCTATATTATGGAGCATAATGGCTAGGTTACACATACAAAGGCACTTCAAAAAGTTCATGGAAGGATTTGTATTGTCTTTGAATTCCCATTTTCCACGAACTTTTTGAAGTGCCCTCATTTGTGTAGATAGATTTATGTACATAAACAAGACATACTCATTAATATGTTTATTCTTTCAAAACTCATTAAAAAGGGGGAATTAAGAGTTTTATCCTTTACATGCAAGAATAGATTTGTGAGAAATCACTTCTTTTTCACATACACTAGACAAACACATTTTTTGTGCTTGATAATTGAGTAGAATTGCAAATAAAGAAACCACAAAAATCTTAAGCAAAATACACTTTGTTCTTGTGTGTGAATTGTCGCTACCACACTATTTCTTTGGTTTGTAATTTGTCTTATCCAAGTTAATTATCATCATCTCACTTAATTGTTCCAAATCAAAGGGAGGAAAAAAAAAGAAAACAAAAGAGATGAGAAATTATAAAGAAAAACATTCATTTGAGTAGGGAAAAACAGTAGATGATATAAAAACGCGAAGCATTCTGTAGCGATCAAGACAAAGAGTATAAGTTTCCACAAAGGCTAAGAATGGGAAGAGAAAAAAAAGCAACTGATAGTTTTGGATTCAACTGTTTCAGAAACAAAGTTATAGCATTTCTTCTCCGGACTATTCTCTCACTGAACCAATTAAACCACTTGGTAGATTTTTATCAACATTTCTATATGACAATCCTGTGAAGATCAATCTTTCATTAATTCCTGGATTTAAAAAGCTGCCTGTAAGACAGAAATCCATAAAAATATAAGGAGGCCTTAAGGCATAGGCTTAACTACTACATCGTAAAAATTCTACATTTAAACTCCCCAGATTAATTGGGACTAGCATTTCTTACTAAAATACTATGAAAAATTCACTCTTACATTCAATGCAAATGAAACAGAGTTGAAGCAACCTGTAATAGGCATCATGGTGATACAATTCTCTTTAGAGAAAATCATTCATATACAGCTTTAAAGAATGTTTAAAGGCATATGTAAATCTTATTTATAAAATAACTAGGACACAGCTTGTGTGTTAAAATAGTTCCCCTTGGAAGAAGACATCTGACCAGGGAAATATATCTGGAATTGTCTGACCTCTACAGATACCACCCTGTCTCAACCCATCATCTCACCCTGATTACAGCAATAACCTCCTAAATGGTCGCCATACTTCTGCCCTTGACCCTACAAAGTATTCTTAAAACAGTAGTCAGACTGATCTCGTTGAAACGGAAGTCAGACTGCATCATTCCACAGCTGATTCAAGCATTGTTACATTGCCTTAAAGAGGTTGCTTTGATCAGCACAGGCCCTCTACCCCACACC